CCTGTTGGCTGGTTGGACAGCAGAACCAGGCCAGAATGGGACAGTTAGAGCCTGCGTGTGCTGCTGAGTTTCAGAAGAGCCAAACAGGGCAGGAAAGCAGTGGAATATGGCACAAGTGTGCTTGTCACCCTGCCCTGTGGGATGGGTGATGGATCAACTCAAATGCCTCTAGCACTCCAGTCACACATATACTCAGTCTGCAGAAAGAGGGGATGTCTCCACCTCCGGTTTCCTCCCCAGTCACACCATACTGTCACAGCACTCCTAATGCACTACAAGGTCGAAACTTCTGCAGACAGAAATCTGGCTGCTAAGCTGACATTGCAGTGTGACTACCTTTGCATTTCCACCCATGGAATGGAGGTAACAACATTACTTGAGCTCATTGACCATTTTGGGGTAAACACTGAAAACCCAAAATTGCAAGAGCAATGCTCTTCCATACAGGTGGTGCTGAAGCCACAACACGCAGTCCAAGGGTGATCAGAAAAGACTTCAGGGCTCTGGGATGGTTGGTAAGGGGATCTGGAGCACAGGTTATTTTTTTCCTCGCTCCTTCCTGTTGGGGGCAGCGACACTGGAAGAAACAGACATACCCAGTCTATTAATACACGGCTCTGTGACTGGTGTCACCACCACAATTTTGGTTTTTTTTGATAAGGGGATGGCCTACACGGCACCAGGCTTGCTGGTGCCAGACAGAACTCACCTTTCTCAAAGGAGAAAGAGGGTCTTTGCACATGAGCTAGTGAGGCTGATTGACAGAGCTTTAAATTAGACTTGAAGGGGGAGCAGGAAACTCAACATGAGCCAGCAATGTGCGCTGGCAGCCCAGAAAGCCAACCGTATCCCGGGCTGCATCCAAAGAAAAGTGGCCAGCAGGTCAAGGGAGGTGATTCTGCCCCTCTACTCTACTCTCCTGAGACCCCACCTGGAATACCGTCTTCAGCTCTGGAGTCCCCAACAAAAGGACATGGACATGGACCTGTAGGAGCAGGTCCAAAGGAGGGCCACCAAAATGACCGAGGGCTGGAGCACCTCTCCTGTGAAGACAAGCTGAGAGAGTTGGGGTAGTTCAGCCTGGAGAAGAAAAGGCTCCAGGGAGACCATCTAGCTGCCTTTCAGTACCCAAAGGGGATCTACAGGAAACTGGAGAGGGACATTTTACAAGGGCATGTAGTGTTAAAGGGAAACGGCTTTAAACTGATAGAGGGTAGATTTTCATTAAATCTAAGGAAGAAATTCTTCACTCTGAGGGTGGTGAGGCACTGGAACAGGTGGCCCAGAGGAGCTGTGGCTGCCGCATCCCTGGAAGTGTCCAAAGCCAGGTCGGATGAGGCTTTGAGCAACGTCTTGTAGTGGAAGGCGTCCCTGCCGGCAGCAGGGGGGTTGGAACTAGATGATCTTTAAGGTCTCTTCCAACCCACACCATTCTATGGTTCTGTGATTTCCTTAAATGAAGAGAGGAAGGGAGATCTACAATTTGCTGTGATAGTCATAAAAGTAAAAATACAAAAGATTTTTTTTTTTATGAAATAAACTTTTACATTTTGTCAGTTTTGGCAGTACTTGACTCCTTTCCTTGCTCCTAGTAAAATTATGAATACTCTGTGCAGAAGTTGAGAAATATATTTTGTGCAAGACTTAGGCTCTGTTTTTCTTTAAGAGTTATAAACAATGATTTAATTTGTGACATTTTGATTTCCAGTTCCTTCAGTAATTTATGCCCTGTATACACTGTAATTCATTATCAAGGAGCTTTATGAGGTAACACTTTGAACATCAGCAAGTTCCCATTTGGCTATCTGCATAGGCCTAAGTAAAATTTAGGACTAACTTTAGCATTTATTTTAGTGTTTTAGCATTTACTGGAATGTGCTACTAGAAAGAAAAGGTTAAAATATGCTCACAGGAAGGCAGCGCCAGATTGAGTTTCTGGCTTAAACCTCTTTCTCCCTTGCAACAAGTGACACTTTCCTCCACCCATTCCTGTCAAGCAGAATAAATCAAAGCAGCAGTATCTGTTTAAGAAGGGGAATTTTGTATACACTTGTTATGTTGCAAAATATTCCCTCTTCCCAAAATATATATTTTGGGAATTCAAAGCAGTGCTTCACTGTTCAAGCCAGAGGGGAACGCGCTGGGAATGCATTGACACAATACCTGTACTGTCCCATGCAGTCAATACTGCAGACAGCACTCTCAGCTGATTCCAACATGAGATACTTCTCTTCAAGGAAAAAAAAAAAAAAAATTAGCAGTACTCACTGCCCCTGCCTCTGCTAGCTGCTCTGTTTGAAGTCTATGTTGGGAATGCCCACTCACTCTGCGGAACTTTTATCCTTTCTGCCTTTCTTCCATTTGTTTAGAAGAATCCATCTTGCAAGAAGGCAGAAAATCATCTGTCTACTCAGTCTATGGCTTCTAAAAGGAAAATGCTTCTAACATCTTTCATCTCAATAATTGAGAGGGAATATGTACCCCAGCAAAGAATTTTTCTTCTCAAAGACAAAAAAACTACTCGCCAGAACTAGTAGTTGCTCTCACAGGCTAATTCGAGTTAAACTTCTCTCCCCCTATTACTAAGTTTTACAATAAATACCTCTGAATTTGAAAAGCGTAATTCATAATGACAGAGATAGTCACAGTTTGGAGACAAGCGATCTGAACAGCCACTACACCCAAGTCTCAAGCTTGCTTTCTGAGGGCACTTCATTCTGCATTCAGAATACAAGAAATGTGGGAAATACTTAACTTGCGGAATATTGAGACAAGTAACTATTAGTGATATAGGGACTTTCTGACAATAGAAAAACAGAAGGTGAGGGGAAATATAGGAAAAAGAGATTAGTTAAGACATCATGAAGGCTTAATTACTAATTCAAATTACTAATGTTACACAGTCGCCTTAAAATTGTATCTGTGCATGATTTATCAAGGACTACCTAAAAGTAGTACGGATAATACTACAGTTAAATTGCTATGACCACATGAAAAGGTTTCTTCCCAGAGAATTTCACTGGCAGAGAAATTGAACTGAATAGGAAATTAAACCTAATGTGGGAAACCAACATGAGGTGTTGTCTCAGACACCTTAAGTACCAAAGAGTCTCAGCTACTGTTTAATAATATTTCATCTACAGTTCCAAAAAAAGCCTAGAGTTAGGAAAAACGGCTTTCAGTGATTCATTTACACATGCTGGCATCCTGATGAGCATGACCTAAAAGGCAAGTCCTATAGAGATGAAGTATTGCAAATTAGTTGCCTGACTTCTGCAGCTAAAGCATGATTCAAGATGACCTCTTCTTTTTAACAACAGCTAGTGCAAAACACTGATGTTATATATATACACACACATCTATATGTGTTAAAGGTTGGGTTTTTTTTGTCGTTAGGAAGCATTAAAAACATTTAAATTTATCATCAAGAGCTTTATCATTTACGGCCCGCAGCTTATTTCCATTTCAAATCCTAAGCAGCAGTTAAGGGGACATTGGTGAAATAGGAGAAAGAATTCAAAAGGCACATAGTTCTCATGAGGGTGATGAATATAAGCAGATAAGCATTGTGGAAAGCCTCTGAATATCTGCAACGCAAGGGAAGTCCTAGAAGGTCAAGAGTAAATATCATTTCCACCATCTCTATTAATCGAGTATCCCATCTTTCTCTGATTGGTTTTAGTTTTGAACAGATACGAAGAGGGCAATTATGTTTTCAACAGCATTTATAAAATAGTGTTATTTGATGCTTATTAAATGTAATACAAACAATAAACACAAAGTTTCTTTTTTCTTCCTTGAGAAATACATTAAAATTCCTCGGATTGGATCAGATTTTCTGCTTCAGAAGTAATTTATCTTTCCCTTTTTCTCTCTCAAACGCTCTCAAAAGGCACCAATGATAGTTATGACAGATGAAACAGAGAATGTGATGTGATTCCAAGTTTATCCTATGGGGTATGTCTTAACATTCAACTCAAAGGAAAAGAACGCTTGGTTTACATCAAATCCAAATTTCTGAAGTAACACAGGACCCTCTCAGACTAGTCCTGAAATGTGTTATCCTTGACACAATAGTATTGTATTTTCATATGTAGTAATAACTGCATTGGGTTTTGCAGAAGAAAACCTCACAGAAATTCTTAAATATCCCAATGATATTTTTATTATTAATTTATAGAGACTTGTACATCAGGTAGAGCTTAAGAGTATATTATAAAAAACAATCACTACCCCCCTTTATTTCTTTTAAATCATGGAAGAGTTTAAGAGCTGAGCAACTTACACAGAGCTGATAGCACTTAAGATTTTCTGAGGTCTTGACAATACTAAATATCTCATAAATTTAATTCTTGAAGTAGAGAATCACAAACGTCACCAGACACAGTGGCCCTATTTAAGTATCCTTGTTTATCTTTCCAGGGTGCCATTCTTTATCACATTACCTGATACACTCACATTTACAGTTCTGAGCTGCCTGATCTCCTCAGCCCATTCTGTACTTCTCCCAACCCACACAGCAACTGCAGAGACCCTTTTTCCCAAAACAAAGTCAGAACATCAGGGAAAGTCTATCAGACTGTGTATCTTCTCAATATCTGTATATTAACAGAAGTCATCACATCTTCAGTAAAGGCAGCTTTTCCTTCAGAATAGCAATGAACAGCTTTTGTGAAGAATCTGAATAGCCAATACGTTCAACACAATACCCCTGTATAATTCCTTCAGAGATCAAACTACAACGTTAATGCTTGCTACAACAGTACTTATATATATATACAGTCGATTGGCTCCATGAATAGGAAATAACATGATTTATTGCAAAGAGCAGATTTCAGACAAACAGCTATTTAGAAGTCCAGTTTGTTACAATTTTATTTAAAGAAAACAAGAGTTTAATGTTTTCATGCAACATTTGCACTTAAGTCTTAAATAATCATGACAAACAGCAGGAGTAGTTAAGGAATGCACTAATAGACCTTAGTGAATATACAAAAAAACTCAGCATTATAGGTTATACAAAGTAAAGAACATCTTAAATACTTTCTCAAAATACTGCAGCAGCCGAGACACGGTGATATGCCTTACAAGGGCATAGGAATGTAATTTAGGAATCACAGGGGAACTACCCATTTCCTTTAATTTCACAAACAAGACAAAAGCAACATTCAACTCCACACACTGATTTTTCAAATTATGTCTATACAGTACCTTGAGTTTTATCCAAATAGTACAAGTTAGACATGTTGTTTATTTAGTAAACAATTATGCAGTAAATCTCTGTTACATTTCTTTCTTGGTTTTACCTGGAGTAGCCATGTTATTTAAAAGAGGGCAGGTTTGGCACTTTTATACTGATGTCACCAATATTAATATTTCTTGGGATCTCTGGAAGATTCATATTCTTTACAGCTGAAACAGCCCGGGCTGGAGCTCCTGCTAAACCAGCCTGTGTATAAAGTGAGGAAAAATGCAAGTCAGGCAAAGTTGGTCACAAGAAGATTCACTAGCAATATACACAGACAACTAACTTTTCAAGTATTTCCATGGTTACACAATTAGAAAGACCAGATGGTAATTGTGTTTGGAATGAAATGGGTTATTTGGAAATATTAAACCAGAAAGAGAAAACAGTTCACACATTCCTTTTTATATGGTAAAACATGTAATGTCAACTTGATGGAAAAGTATGCAGGGAGGAATAGGAGGCTTATCCAAGCATGTGTAATGTGTAGGTTATAGAACAGACAATCTTAAGATATTTAAAGTCCAACGTGCTTTCTTTGTCTCTTACCTATCCTAAAAGTTCACATGGTTCATAGTTGACTAACATTGGCTACAGGTTCCGAACACATAACCTCAAAGTAACAAGTTATGAATGTCCCCTGAACCATATTACTTATCTAAATGAATATATATATACATATATACACATATATATATATATATCTCTCAAGTATTTCAAGTGGCTTAGCCTAAAAAGAAAAGGATAAACACCTTGCATTTGTGGGTGATAAAGAGCATGCAGAGAGATCATTTCCATAGACCAACTGGAGTAATCTGTTATCTCAGAGTATCTAATTACATGCTAACTTATCTGCAGCCCACAGGCACACTGGAACATTATGTAATAACTGGGTTATGTCAAATTAAACATTTAAGTACCTATTTTGTATTAAAGTCCTCTACTGTACGTAGTCTCCCTCCATTTAAAGTCAGAGCCTTTCTGCATAAATATGAGTACAATATAGAGTAAGTTCATTACTGAGTTCCATTCAGTTCTGCCTTTTATCTAAAGTAACTGCCAAGTTTACACACTAGGGTATACTACTCAAATGCTAACAAAGATGATTTACTGCTCGAGGTCTGAAGACATACAGAACATGACCTTTCCCTATTGCTTCTGAAGAACAGCTCTTCAAAGAAGGACTGTTATTTTAAGGACTATTAAAAAAAGACCAATAATTAAGTTGTTACTGTATTTGAAGCTGGATAGAAAAGGTACTATTTATTTTAAGAACGGAAATGTTTCTCCTAAAAGTTCAGATTCTCTATGTGTATTTAGAATTAACTGTGTGATTTTACATCAGGCTCGCCACAAAAGTGTAGAAATCATTTTTTGTGCTTGCTGGGAAACAAAAAAAGCCTGGAAGATTTTAAAAATAAAGCTGTTATTTGCGGAAAAAGACACCATTTCAGATTCTTGATTTTCACTGAAATTCATTGCAATTACAGAGTATAATTAGACTGATGAGTATACCTGACTTCCACGGTGTCCACATGCACTATTGCACAAAAGGAGACAGACACCTCATATACTCAGATAACACCACAAGTTTTTGAAGGCTGTCCAATAAAATATTTTTCCCCTTTTATTACTCTAAGAAATGAATGTAAAATTTCCACTTAAAATCCTACCTACTGTTCTCCTCATCCCTCCAAAAACATAACCCATAGTCAAAATAAAACAATTTTCTGATTTTGAACTAACCCTTTTATATCATGTGGAAAGGCTAAAGCATCATAAATCCCTAGATTTTAGTCACAGGAAGATTCTCGGTGCCAGAACAGAGACCAGGAAGCCATGCGTCATCTGTTATAACATTCTCCCTGCCAAACACTCACATATGAGACATGCCAAAATTGAGAAAGGCATGTGAGGGTAGAGAAGAAATCTCGGGAAATCTTAACTCTCTAATGCAACCAAATAATTTGGTCTCACTTTGGCCCTGACTTAAGCCATATTATCAGTTCTCAGAAGTACAGACTGAGTAAAATTAAAAAGGTGCAAAAAAGTATTTTCAAAGCCTCCTTTTTCTTGGTTTCCCTTAACATCACCAAGTCTATCAGGTCATTCACTTCAGAGGCTGTTTCAATTTCAACGTCTTCATGCAGCGGAAAATCTGGACTTAACATTAGTAGCCTTAAGAAATGCAAGTATCCAAAATCTGTATCCCTGAATCTGCAATATCTTCAAGGAGCAGTATCAGACGCTGCAATTTCTTGCTACTTATGGAAAAACAGCGCAGAAGATAAGAAGCTACTTGACACTGTCCTTTCATATTTAAGAACCTGGAAATACTAAATTGAAATCAAGAGATAACTACCATTGAAGTTTTATCAGATAAAACAATAAATGCATTTCCTTTTTATTTGGTTCTATCCTTTAAATTCTATATTCACTAACTGAAGAAATATTCTTTAAGCAAAACCAACAGTGGGACAATGTAAACTGTTTTCCATAGAGAAGATGAAAACACTAATAAAAGAGTAACAAAAGCAATGAATTATACAATTTGTAACTGAAACAATGGGAAACCAGAAAAATATTGTTAAGTGATGGACATGGTCCACACAAACAGGCATGGCTGGCAATTCAAAAGAGAGATGCCTTCTAGGTGACTAGGATGGAGATTCCTTACCCTAATTTAATGAAAGTTAATTATTCTTAATGGACAAATAAGATTTAGTGTAACTGGTCATTATTTTTACCTACCTGCAACTATGCTCTTTACACAGACTTACAGTCCCTGCCTCCCGCCCCAATGGCATAGGATACAATGGAGACACAATTGAGAATTATTTAAAACACCACGATTGACATGATCATTGCCCTTCCACCCCCCTATGCAGTCACGACTTCCAACAGCCACATTTCATGAGGACCACTCTGGATCAGGAGCAGTGAAGATCTCTGACAAAAGTACTATGAATTTCAGATTACCTCTTTTTTTGCCAGCGAGATTGTCTTTCACTATCATATGCCGGAGCAGAGATTTTTCAAACTATCACATTCTCTTCTCCTGTAATTCTCTACATTAAGTGGGTTTGTAATTCAACGTGTACATAATGAGTAGCTGAATGTTATGTATCACAATTAATGTTGACCCTATCAAGCACAATACAGTTATACAGTACTTCTAAGAAAGAGCAAACAGTTCATAAAAAGTGTCTAACGGATAAAATGACTGAAAAGTACTTCAACTCCAAACTGGGTAACTAATACATTATGTCAAATGCTATTATATCCGAATGCCTTAGCACTCCTATTTAACGTGTCAAACAGTGAACTGTAGTATGCAGTCCTTCCATTTATTTATCATTTCTCTTACAGAAAGTGAACTGTATTTACAAACACAAAGGTACTACAAGAAGTGTGTCCATCCCAGTGTGCGTTTATGCAGTTTTATAGAGGTACCTGATCAAAAGAGCCATCACTGTAACATTGAACTGGCCATGTTTCAACTGCCTTTTTTATCAAATAATTCAGCAGGTAAGTTGGTGAGGTGCAAAGAAAAAACTGTTTCACTTGAAAAAAAAAGAAAACACGTAGCAAGCTTTAAACATGCAGTGAACGATGAATTGTCTGTCACAGCAAGCAAATGACTTAAGCAAGTGAAAATGAAACTTCTTAAGGCATATTAATGAAATTTCTGAAATACAGTACGAATTGCATTCAGCTGGTATTACAGTAAGCCAATACACCATATTTTTGCCACAGCTGCTTTGCATTTCCAATTTTATTTGTTATTGAAGGTTGTGCGTTAATGTTGGAATGCTTTATATTCAAATTTTAGGTTCGGTTACCGCAAAAAATGCTTGTAAACATGTTCATACAATTCCAGAGTGAAAGAGCAATGCCACATATGCAAAACAATAATTCTGTTCTAAAGACTGAAATAGACATATTTAATAACAGAACTTTTATTCTACTGGTCCTAGTTTATCAAGTGAGATACATGAGTTGTTTACTTAGGTCATTATTTATCACTATAGGAATCACTTTTCTTCATTCTTATCATCATCCTTTCTCATAATGTCCCACTGATAACTTTATATGAAAGTGATCCCAGAAACATTGTTTTACTCTTTAAAAAGAAATTAAGATTTGGAAAAAGTATTACACATCACAAATGTAGTCAATATGCATATACAAATACATATTTTTAAAAATACTTAAACCACCATCCCAAACAACTCTACACAGAGCTAGCTATCACTAAAATGAACATAAAAATATACAGCCTACTGGAAAACAAAATAATGAAGGCTAACGCTTTGCAAAATAAGCCACCTTTTTCCAGATATTTCAGAGGTACTAGGACCTCTCCGCTGCTGGTGTTTCATACCAGTGCTTCTTTCCAGAACAAGTATGACTTCAAAGCAGCAGGGTTATGAAATCATGAAAGGATGCAATACATAATATAAAGGAATGATCATGTCCCCTGCTTATGAAGTTAAATAAATGAACATAATCAGAGAAAAAACAAAATGAAGTCTGCAAGTATATCAAAATGAGGCCAAACAGATAAGAAGACTTAAGACGTACTCTTAGAAATTTTAAGCACTTGAATCACAAAGAGAGTAATGGATGGGAATGATTAATTATTTGTTTGTTTGTTTTTCATTGCCAGACCCAAAAATGAAAACAGAACATGTGTGAGCAGAACAGAGAAAAAGAAAAGTAGCTTTGCACAAATAAAAAAAAAACAAAAAACAACACAACAAATGAATCTGAAATCAAACTCCCTACTGTTACAAGGAAATACAGATCATATATTACAGGTGTTGACATACTAGGCAGAGAAAGGTCATTTGATTGATTTTCTTCATATGCTGTTGCATACTTTAAATTTAGGTAAAATGTTTCATACTACCCAAAACCATTTTTAGTTAATGCTTTACAAATGCTAGTACATCCAATTATAGAATTATATTTATTAAATCTTAAAGGTACTATATTACTTTATCCTAGAAAGATAATTTAGAAAGTAAAGAGCAAAGCTATTAATAAATTAAATAAACTTCATCTGCTTAAGATTCCAGCTATTTAAAATACCTGCAGTTTGAGTATACAGATACTTAAAATGAGTGGAAATGAATTTTGAAGTACTGCAATTAACATTGACATTCAAACTGTTGAGCTGAACTAAATGTTTCAAACAGCAAATGATGGGGGACAATGACCATAAACTGACTTCAAACATACATTTTCCTCCTCCTTTTTTAGTTCCTTGTTAATATTCATGTCCAGTGACTGCAGTTACGAGATATCTTAAAGCAAAATCCAGTGATTCAGATTGCAAGGGCAATGCTGACAGCCCTTCTCATTTTATGTTTCATACACTTAAGGTTGAAAGATAACTGTGTTATTTCTACATCACCGTTACAAATTGGATTGATGAATAGTTTTATACACACAGAATAAAACTGAGTTTGTTGGTTTCTTCATTTTGGTAGGTTTTAAAAGTTTTATTCACCTGAAACTTATTCTGAAACTTCTCTCTGCAAGCAGGTAAAAGAACTTTGTTTTCACTTGGAAATACTAAATGGTGAAGCAAAAGAGTTCACACTACCTATTTTAGATTACCAGGTACAAAATTCTCCCAATAAGGAAGGTATTTCTATTACATCATTATATCATATTTTATCTGTGTGTTCCATTTTTATTCAGATTAGTTTTGTAAGGTTTTTTGTTAATATTTATACAAATTCATATTTGTTATTTAAACAATGATACAAAGAAAAGTTAAATTCCAAAATGCAGAAAGAGAAATAAAAAAAAATATGATGTCAATGGAAAGCTAGTAAAATACACTATAGCCAATAAAAAGATGAGGGAACTACAAGAAGAAACTAGCACAAAAAGTAGGCTACAAGGACTAGTATGGGTATTTTTACACATAATTTTTGAGTCTGGCCTACATAATTTATGGTCTTTGACATCATTTTGCTTTCCCTTTTTGTTAAAAGTATATTTTTTCTAAAAGTCAGCAATACCTTTGTCTACCTGTCCTGTCTGGGAGACTGAAAGATAAAGGTCTGTAAGAGAGAAGAATGGAAAGAGCTAGAAAAGATCAGGAGGTTCGGAAAAAATGAGGTCCAACTTAAAAGTCTAAATCACACGCAGTTGAACACTCCAAATAGAGAAGAGGTAGCCCAGGTTTATCTACATTACTTCCAGAGGCTCTGGATAAAATCCCAATGTCCCCTCTCCCAAAAAATCCCTCCCTTAACCACAATGATCCTTTGACTTTATGAGGATTGACCAGAAATCCATTCACAGATAAACACTAAACTGAAAGGTAGGGAAATGCATTAAAGATAACATTTCTCAGGGTAGAAATAGAATTTCCTTCGTAGCCCATCCAAGCAATGTTAAGAGCTGAATCAGAAATCAAAGCTAGGGAGTCCCTCATAGTGATTTAAATAGTTAATCTCTTTTGAAAGCATTAACAAATTATTTGAGTTGGTAACTTTGCTCAAATATTTGTGAATTTGATCAACACATTCAATCTTTTTCAATAAATTCTAACTGAAAGCCTGTTTAGAAACCTAACACATAGCTGAACAAATACCTGACATCAAATGGCTAAACTTTTCATATTACGAGAATCCAGGTGGGCACAATACAAAATTTAAAGTATTTCTGAAAACGTTGCTCAATTACAATTTTATAATCTTCATCATTTCAGTTATAAAAGGAAAGGGAATTTAACCTTAAAGCAGCTGTTTTATGGATGCAAGAACTATGATGGAGGTATAACAAGCCAAACGGAGAGTGCTGTGGCATAGGTGGCGGTCCTATGAACTACAGACTATACCAATAACAATTTATACATTTGAAAACGATCATTTATTTTTAATTAAAGAAAACTAAGAAGATCCACTAGTTTTGATTTCTTAGTGACCAGCATTCAAAAATGTTATTAAGTTATTACTGATTTTTATTTACATGAACTGGATTTGCATATATCTTGAAAATACATGTTCAGGAAAGACATGTTGAAAGATCTACAATCTTGATCAAAAAGACAAAAGGAAAAGAAATAGCAATCAGGAAATTTCTGTGGATATACACTAAACACATGATTAACGATCTGAAGAAACAGTTACCACGTATTGTGAAGTATCTCAGCATTACAGTAACTGTTAAATTTGAAAAGAAACAGTCACTGAACTAACAAAAAAATATAAATAATGCAATTGCGGTGAGCAGACTGTGAAATGTTCTACTCCATCCCAGTCACCAAGTGTTTTATCACTGCTACTTCTTTACCTTCTATAATTCATTGCTGAATGTAAAGGAAAAAGTTGCTATATGCCTTGCATATGCTATCAGTTCTACATGTTTTTTTCCTATCTTCTATCACCTATTTTTATACTAAAAGCAGCATAAAAGAAAGAATGACTTACTGATGAGTAATGGAAAACATCAAGTATTGCAGCTGGCTGCACTGAATTGAGGTGTTTCAGATGACTGGTCAGAAACTGGTCTACAGTTGATTTGGTAACAGAATTCACATAATTACGAATAAATATCTTAATTAAATGCTTTTAGGTAAAATTGATATGCGCATAGTACCTGGTAGAACATAAGCTGTTCAGTAAGTTCAGTTTTTGGGACACTATGTTACTTTTCCATCAAATAAAAATACATGTATAAAGAGGTTATTAAAATATAGTAAAAATCTATAAGAATAATTCCAAATATTCACCTCTGTGACCAATGGCTGATTCTGAGTTTGAGAAAAATCTTAAAATTAACATTTTGGATATCTTCATAATCTACAGTACAATCCTTCTGGATGTATATTGCTATGCACTGTATCGTATCATATCTAACTTTTCCCTGTTTTTCGCACAATGTTGTTGTATTCTTGGATACAGTTTGGAAGTTGTACAAAACAGACAATTAAATGTATTAAAAGACTTGAGGAGATGCAGCGTGAGATTGCAGAATTAGTAGAACAGTATACATTGTACCACAAAAAATGAAGAATTAATTTCTCTTTTTGTTGCACTTAAGTGAAAACTGGGAAGTTCTCTGGGTCTTCTCCTAAAATGTTATTTAGTTCATATTTACGCCACCTGCAATACTCCAATCCACTCAGCTGACTTCGCCTTCAGAAACAGCCTCCAAATCAAGCAAAGGTTTGTTTAGAAATTTGAACACTATGCTTCAAAAATCAGATGATGTGTTCTTCTGTGGAATTACTCTCATCAATAAGAGTCAATCACAGACTTAGCTAAGATGTACTAGCAGTATTTTGGCTTACAAGGCATGTCTGGTGATGTTAAAGGAACAGTAACATTCTGTGTCATAGCTAAAGTAACTTTAAAATCCTTTCTTAGTCTAAATTTATCTCCTAAACATAAATTCAACAACTGCTGAATTGAAAGGGATTCCCATAACTCATGAGAGTATCCCTCACTCAGACCCTCATGGGCATATGCACAGTATCATTTTCCCACTGGAATCTACTGAACCGAAGACCAAATGTTCAGATTACCAAAGCGGCAGAATTGGTATTTACTTTAAAGGGTCTAAAACTGGGCTTTAAATTCGATCTAGTCCATTTCAGTATAACTTATTATTTTTTGTTACAATATTACTGTGACACTGAATACACTGCTATTTATTTCAGGTGCTAGAAACATACCAGCATATAGTCTTTGTATACACATTTTGGTTCTTTCTCTAATTTCATTTAAGTGTTATAGCCACTAGTCCAGCATAATAAAAATCCACTGGAAATAATATGCTTTCCGCAAGAGAAATTTCAGAGAATTACAGAAGTATCCAATAGCAATGGCACACAATGCTATTAGATACAAATAGCAAAAACTAATCAGCAGCAACTCTAAACAACTATTACTTATGAAGAAAGATACAACCTACTAACCTAACGCTATTTTGTTAATTTTTAGTGTTATAAGCAAGCAGCTGTATATAGTCTCCTACTGAAGGACAAACAGCATTATGTAACATGCATTTACTACAACTATGTTTTTAGTTTAGGAACTACACAGTGCATCACTCTTACCTCTGATTTCTCCAGTTTATTTTGAGCATCAATCTGAGTGACAATTTCATTCATGTTGGTCTCCAAAACCATTCCACCCATGACCATTTCGGCCAGTATATTATGGACCTAAAAAAAAACCAAAAGAAAATTTCAAAATGCAAAACACCTACATGCACCTGGACAGATGATATCTAGTTAATCAATACAGGAACACATATACTCTGCAAGTCATTTAATTAATGTTAGTAACTTCTTTTAAACCATTTGGGAGCAAAGCTTTTGATGTTCATTTCTGCAGTATCTTGTTTGCTTATAGTTCTACTACAAACTCATCAGCTATGCCACTTTGCTTATCAATACTAGCAGAAACTTTCACATTCATCCTTCTTTCAGTATCTGTTTTCTATCCAAGGACTACGGACAAGAGTTCTAATTAGCATCAATAGCAGTAACACCTCTAAGGAACAGGTCCTATAAGATTAAACAAATTGCTCACAAATAGATGTGTAAAAATTACTTTGGGCTACATCCTGATGCTCACTCACCAGTGGTACCAGTCTAAGCTTAGAAGTAGAACATACCTGAGCTACACCATAAACAGGGAGTCTTCATCATCTAGGACTAAGACTGACAGCTAGGACTCAAACTGAAGGACTATGTAAACCAGCTGGGGTTACATTAATGAAATGCATACGTCTAAAACCCCTCTTCCCTGCAACCCTGACTTGGGGATGTGAGCCCTGGTTCATGATTCTCCGCTTGAGTGTCTCTATTCGCACTTTATCTGAAGACTATTTTTTTTAAAAAGGCATGCTTCCACATACTTTCTAGTAAAAATCCAGAGTTAATATGTAATGCATAGTATTTTAATCCCAGTATAATTCTGAAAATAAGGAACATTTTATTACTTTTTTAAAATAAACATATTGTACAATGTGATACCTCAAAGTATAATTCTGTTATTATTTTAGATATCCTTGCAATTTCCCTGTGGATCAAGGACAGAAGGAAGCCTCTAAATCAAGCAATTCGACATATGAGTTACAAGCAGTATACCAAAAACCACCACACTTCCTGTTTTTGTGCCGTATCTCACGAACAAAACTGAAGAGTTGTCTCCCTGATAAATCATTAGTATATTTCAGTGGAAAATTAAAATGAATGTGCTTAGAGAGGATGAGAACAGCTCTTCCTCTGCCTACTGCTGCTGAGTATAGCTTTAAGAATGAAATACTTACGAGAGAGATTAACAATCCTTACTGAGTCACTCTATTACTCCTGGCATATGTATGTTCCTCATAACACACCAAGCTAAAAAACGTAATATAAAAGCGGTGCCAAAGAATTAATTCTCCTGGCTTGTTATTAGGTGAATTTAAAAGCTTTATAGCATCTCAGTCAGAAAAAAACATAGTAATCTAACATTAATCTACTCTACTGACAATACAAATGCATTGAAAGATGCCACAAAAATTTATTTCTTTTTGCTGAAAACTAACTTTCTCTCAATGCATAAGAAACGGTTTATAGCTGTACACAAATAGGAATTTGTAAATATATTGTATAGGCTACCTGAAATACTATAACCAAAAAGCTTACATAAATTTGCATTTGGTTACAAATTTGCAAAGAATTATTTCACAGACACTTGATGAAAGATAAAATGTATTCAGTAGAATCAACTGAAAAAATACCGATTTATCAGGGAATTCTCCATTTTACTCATATGGAAGGCTTGATAACGTAAGTTGATGATGTAAAAAGTTGACTTAAGATGTTATTAGTATCAAAAAGAAAATATCAAAGATGTTAATATGGAAACTGTTCTTAAAAAAAGAATATTAAAATAGAGAAAAGAATGGCATGGTTTTTAATCAAAAAGTTAACAGTAACCACTAACAGCATTTAGAAGTCAACACATCTCTACCACTGGTGATGGCCATAGAGACTGACACTTTAAAGAGGTCTGGCTAAAGATGTTACAAAATCAGAGTTCAGCTAATCAACACAATTTTAAGTTTGATAATTCCTTAGAGAGGAGATGGTAAAACAAATATGTTTTGTAAGTAGATAGGTTTTCAGCTTCAATCACAATCAATCTCCATGCCCAGATCAGTGATGTTATTAAGCTTTTGCAAGGTTTATCCAGTCTTCTTGACTACTCCACAACTTTTAAGCCATGTGGGATTCTCCTCAGAAAACAGAAAGACTAACTATTATAATATGCATACACACCAAAACCCCAAAAAATACAAAAGTCTTCATAACGCAGTATTTATCTGGCAATTAGGGTTATATTTTACTTTATTATGAATTTACTAAGCAAGTATTTTGACATGCAATGAAATTTAGGATTTTTTTCCTTTCTAGTTCCTGAATGGGCATTACACAGACTTACGGAAAGACTAATAAGTCATGTCTCCCTAAATAAGTGGAAAATTTTCTGACTTGTCTTCTCTGATCTGAGAGTTCACTACGAAGTGATTCTTTTCCATCTCTCAATAAAAATGCAGCATAACAGTACAAATACTTGCTTCTGTAGATTCGGATTTTATTTTCTTTCTAAAAATGCACCTGGCTCCCAAACAACAACTGCAGTCATCATCCCCAGATTTTAAGGTAGTATTTTTCATTTTGCTCTTTTTGGCAGAGTTAGTGATGTCAAGGAAGAAATTCCAGCTGTAACTTTAGCCTCAACTAATAGTCCCCAAATTCAGAAACTATTCATTTTAAGGTCAAAAGAGTATTTCAATTGTTGAAGAATATATTTTAATTTGTGGAGGATACCCAAAACTGCATTGATAAGTACATGAGAGACTAAATTTCAGACTATATCCTGGAGAAGAAAAGGAATTTAATTCAATTTCCTCATAACATTCTTGAAATCTTTGGTTAACTTCTAGATCTTACCTGTTCTTTTACAGTATAGGAATAATTAATATACGTTTCTCACTTAAGAGGCAAGAAATGACATCTAAGTAAGTTCCTGCTTACTTCGCTCTTACTCAGCGGAGAACTTCACAGAACAAGCTGTGGAAGTCTAGCAGGACAGAATAAAGGAAAGTAAAAAAGCAGGTCTTCACCTTTCCAGATTATTCATTTGTATTACAAAAAAAAAAAAAAGGTGATGTTTTTACAAAAGAAAAAAAACAAGCAACCAAAAAAACCCCACTATCCTCTTTTCTTAGGTAATCTAGGTAAGCTCTTTCGAAGAGGTTACTGATATAAAATACTGAGAATGATAAAGCTCTAAGATCACAGGCTGCCCTCCATATGAAACGTACACCAAAATGACTGAAGAGATTGAGCATTTGATTAGCTTTTCACAAGCGTCCTGGTTTCTCTGAAATAAATTACAAGGTGCATTTAAAAAGAAATGTAATTAAGTTATGTCAGTTTTGGTAGCTATTTTTCCCTGCTAATACGTAAAGGTAAGCAATTATAGTCCTGCCAACACAACTCAAAACCGAGATTGTTCTTTCCTCTAGTGTTACTGACATGATAAATATATAATGTATTAGACTACGCGTAGAACACTGTGTCCAGTTTGCAGTCAACAAGTGCAAGAAAGACATGAATGAATTGGGAGTTCAGCAGAGGGCCATCAAAATGGTTTGGACTAATGCATTTGTCCTGAGCAGAGATGCTGGAGCACCAGGGCTGGTTCAGCCTGGACAAGACCAGGCTTGAGGGCACCTAACAGCCGCCGCAGTGCCTACAAGGGGCTCTCAGGGAGCTGGGCTCTTCTCAGCAGGACATGGCAGGAGGGCAAGGGACAGGAGAGACTGAGACTGGCTGTAAGGAAACCTTTCCCCAGAAGGACAGGCGAGGAGTGGCACAGGCTGCCCAGGGGCTGTGCAGGCTCCCCCCCCTCCCTAAACAGCCTGGTCTGAGTCCACAACTGACCCTGCTGGGAGCAACATCTTGCACCAGGCACCTCCCAAGGTTAATAATTCAATTATCTTACAATTTTATGGTAAAAATACAGTACTTCATGATATGGAGAGAGCTTCACTAAAAAAAAGGAATGCTTCAGAGCCAGAAACTTGCTCTATCCATTATAGGCAGGAAATCCAAATTTCTGGAAAAAGCTAGATGCAGAGAATTAGGGCCAATTTAAATGCAATGCACATGCTCGTAATATTAAGTGTACCAAAAGTGTCTGTATATGTACACATATACATACACAAACACTAAAGAAAAAAAAAATCATGTATACATATCTATGAAATTAGGAAAGCTTAATTCATTGCATTTCCAAATACAATAGTTTTGCATCAGCCAACCTCATAAAAGCCAGATTATGAAACTGCTTAGGAACATACTAACACTGACTACTTCTCAAATGTAGTAAATGCTTTAAAGAACAACTGTGGAAGGATCAGAGGCAGTTATACAGGTGTCCCAGCATCATTCATATTAATGTTCTCTGTTATTCCTTGGATTGAAAAGAGCTTTTTTTTTTTTGGGGGGGGGGCTTTTGTTGGTTGGTTGGGTTTGGTTTGTTGTTTTTTTTTCTAACCTGTTAGAAGATGCAGAGATATGGTTTAATAGATGTCAGTAAGAGGTTCAGTTGGAAACATCACCTTGAAACAGTAGTGGTGCAAGGTCTCTACAGTAAGTGTACATTACGTCCAACAGTTCAGAGAACAACTCTATGGTATGACACATCTGATGCATTTTGTATAACACAGAGACATATAAATTCAAGAAGTGGCCAAGGTTGAACAGAGGAGCTAGATCGCATGGTCTCCAGAGGTCCCTTCCAGTGTAAATTATTCTATCATTCTAAGAATAAAGAAACTGAACTGTTTTACTACGTTATAAACTAAAAAGAATTAAAAAAGGCTTCTCGAGCACACAGATCACTAATTATGAGAGTAAGGTTGTAGTCCAACCGCAACAACAAAATTAAGGCAACCACTGCCCAATACCAAGAGAAAGAATTTGATTTACAGGTTAAAAGAATGCATCTCACCCGCGCATCAATTCCCTTGATCTAAATTCTGAAAGAAGTCTGCAACATGCCAGTAAGCTACAGATTAAGAAATAAGTAACAGGGGAGCAGTGTCTGCAAGTGAAAAAGGTCAGGAGGCAAACTTCAGATTTCTGGCCAGCTCTTGCACTGATGCCATAACTGCACAGAACAGCAGTTTCAGTATTGCATGTTCAGTGTTTCACGTTACAGAAGATGCACATTGCAACCTTTACCTTTCTGTCATGCAAGTTGCTTTAAAAAACATGAAAGTTAAAATTTCTACTTATGCTCAAGCATGCTTAAAAAACTTTAATGCAAAGTCCACCTAGTTCACTGTCTGGTTTCAAAAATTCACCAGCTGACATTTTAAAAAATTATGCAAGAAATCTTAATATTACTTATGGTGATATAAAATCTCTGCTTCCAAATATCTCCAACTTAAGGATTCCTGAAACAGACTGTGCGCTATTTCTTGCTATATTATTGTCTTTTACAGCCCCTGTCAGATTTTTCCTTTGGTTGATACGTATAATCACTTTTGAACCTATTTAAAATATTCTTGGTATCTATGCAAAACGGGACAATGGCATTCCATAATCCAATTATAAATCAAAAAAAACCCAACTCATTTTCTTTGTTTCGGACTTACTTCCTGAAATTTTATCTGATATCCCATTGTTCGTTATTTCTGAGAAACACAGTTGTTCATTTTCTTCAGGCCCTTCAACATCTTTTTTTATATATGTCTTACTTCTCTGCCTCCAGTATCTTGAATATTCAACTACTTCTTCCATGAAAGCTGTTCCACACCTTAGATCATGCTTCTTACCTTTCTCTGTATTTTTTTCCTACTTTTAGTACACAATACGCAAGTTTAACACGCAGTATTTAAAAACGTTTATAAAGCACGGACTGACAGAGTAGCTTAATTGTTTTTTCCCCTTGCCCCATTTTTCTTCTAAAGGGATGATTTTCTAAATAACAGATGCAATTAATTTTACTTGCTAACCTGTAATGAAACGAAATCACGACTACGTCCAATAATATTATGTAAATATTATAATCCATTTGCTCTTTTCTGTTAAATATCCTATAAGAATAAAACAGTACTAGCAAAACTTTGCCCAGATATGAGCAGTGGCAAGACATACATTTTAATATTTAATTTTTAATTTTAACTATTTCTTTTTCATTGCTAATACATCTTACATTAACAAATACACATTATTTTCTCTACTTTTCGAATTAAAAATTTCACTAATTGTTTTCCTAAAGAAACAAAAAAAAAATCTGAATTAAAAAAGCATTAAGCTGCAATGAAGTACAAAATCCTCTTCAACAGTGTATTCAAAATAGCATTTAAGTGAAAGACTGAAGACACATGGAACACATCTCTTACGTTAATATTCTAAAAGAGATCAAGAGAATGTCAACTTTTCAAAATCTGATATTGCCATTTTGTAATATTAATTTTGAGGTGTTTTTACAAAACTCAAGAACGCTTCCTACTTCTATTCCATGCGCTGTCTAAAAGCATGAATGCATGCTTTAACAAACGTGGAGAAGGAATGCATCAAGAAAAAGCTCTCCCAGGAAGATCTGGCAAACACATTCTCCTGACTTCAAGCTGCAATCTGATTCTGGAGGGTTTGCTGTTCTGGTCAGATAATAAACTTCTGGAAGAGATCATGATACTCCCAGGGATATTTAAATAGGTGCCAAAAATTTGTGGAAAAATGAAAGTATTTCCTTACATTCTGAACTGAATGTATTCCAGTATTTTAGTTGTAAAAGATGCTTATGACAGCTCTCTATGACATCTCTTCCATCAGAAAGCATTATCTTCCTGGACTTAGTGCAAGAATCATTATAGGACTGAAAAAAACCTCCTCCTCTGGAAAACATTTTGCTCCAGCTATCACAAGCTTGTTTGTTTGTTTTTAATACAGCTGATCTGTGAAAGAGAAGCCCAATTCTCTCCTATACAACTACACTCCCCGACATTCCAAGTCCTTATCTGCCTACAGCATCTAAGAAACACCACCCCATTCCCACCTATTTTGCATTCCTTAAATTAATTTCTAGTCCTATACTAATACTCTTCTTGAATAAGCATCTCTCTTGGCTCCAGATTACTGTAAGCCATCACTGGGTCCTGTACAATGATAGCTGCCTGATGAAGGTAAATGTTTCCTTATAGAAATGCCTCATGAAATGCTACTAAAGTCAACAGCTGTTGAGATTACATAATTTAACTCTTTTCTATGCTACATCACTTTTTACAAGAAAGTATTTCTTGTGTTTTAGGCAGTTCTAGCAGGAGTATTGGAAGAAAGTCACCTTCCACAACTCCATCAAGAAATAAAGACACAGATCAACTCTCATCCAAATCAATTAGTCAATCCTCAGTTTCTCAACACCAGACCACTCAAAATACAAATACTTCAAGTGTTTCACCTCAAACAGCTCCCACATGTAAGTATCCACTATAACTAAGACTTTGCATACACCAAACATCCACCTCTTTTGCCCTATTGCATACTTGAAATCTATTAGCAAGTCAGGCCACAAGTACCTGACAAGAGAAAGTTAAAGTGTTCTAACTCAGAACACTCAATGCATTTTGCTTCTTGACAAGATGACCTTATCAGCAGTTTAAGGAGAATTTAACGCTGTAATTTCATTCTCACAGACACATACATCATCCTATTTTTTGCCTCACAGATCTGCAAGAATACTAATGAACTTCAACTGTACCGAATCAAATGTTTTGATTCTATGTTATGGTATAAAGTAAGTCTCACAAACAAACTACATTGGGGGGAAACGAAAAGAAAGAATGGAGATGACATGAGATTAGTCACAACTGCACAATTAATGCTACTGTACTGGTGGTAGTAGCCTTGCGTTACTGCAGAAGTTCAGCTTTCTGTATTGTATGCTTTTGCCGACTGATGCTCAAGTTAAAAATCACCACACTAGTTAATGCCATGTTCAAAACTTTTTTAACTCAAGGTTTCACTGATCTTTTATTTTGGAAACGGGTTACTTTTGCTAAAACATCTGATTAGTATTTAGGGTTCACATTTTCCTCAGTTTGAAAATTCTAGGCTAAACATTTAAAGGGATTCACATACAGTTTTTTTAGTAAATCAAATGAAACTCTTGAATTTCAGCTTCCCTTTGACAAATAGTTTTCAAAAATAAAATATCTCATATCCAATACAAAGTATAACATTCTTCAAGAAATGTAATACTGATACTGTAAAAGTTGGCAGAGAAAAACCATCTAAGACTCATTTTGAAGTTTCTGAAGGCAGGCTTTCTTTATTGCAGCACTGGAGACGTCGGAGATAATTCTTCAGAATGTGTCTTCAACCTTTGGTTGAAGTTAGTGAAGTTTATTTAAGTCAGTTGTATATATATGTATTAGATTTCCAAGAATAATCCTATTTATCTCATGTCCAAGAACTAATTGCAATACTTGCACTCTAATAACCCATGCGAGGGTCTTTTGGGATCTTCGGGACCCTCTGGTGGTCGTTCTTGAAATGTTCTTTGGTTGAACTTTCTTTTGGAATATGCGCCCTAAGGAAGAGTCCAGGTGTCCTTTATCTCGATTCTAATGGTTAACCAGTTCTGTCTACCACCTAAGTTCGATATGGTCCATTCTTAACTCAAAGTGATTAGTTTTCTGAGTTCAAAGTGATTAGTTTTCCACTCGTTAACATTCTTGAATACTCTATTGTTTAGATCTCCATCTCTATAATCATTTGTTATCTATCTGATAACAGGAAATTCTCAGTATCAATACTTTGAAGTACCTAAGCTCTCTCCATTTTAATAGAAAGATGTTTCTTCTATAAAGCATAAAAGACTACTTAAGTAATGCTACTGAATGAAACATGCTACAGAGCAACAGCTTGGACTGCACAGCAGCCAAAGTATTTGCAACTAAAGATAAACATCAAACTCCTTGCCACAAAACGACTGCAGTATTTGGGTTCTTTAAGCTCAGAAGCCAACATACAAACCACTTATAAATTCTTTTGTACTTTAATCCACCATTTTGGAAACAGCCAACATATTCCAGCCAGGCTAGAAATCCTAATGACTTGTCATGAGCACGGTATGAGTTCAAACACCTACTCAAGGTCATTTGCATTTGCCCAGTCAAAGTACAAGTGTTTCTTCCAGAAGAATTTCCATGTTTTAACACAAGCTGAGTCAGTTCCAAACGGTTATTTCAGATACTTAATTTTTGTTACTATTTCTAGTGATTTTTGTCTTATTTTCCATTCACGTATTTTGCTGCTGATGTAAAAAGATGTTCACATATGTGGAAAGGTGACTGCACAGAAAGCAAGAGTAGGCACAAAACGCAAGTGAAGGAATAATTTCTGTGTATTCAATTATTGGCATTTTAGGTATTACACCAAGAGGTGCCAATGTCCTTTTAAATGAAAGATTACTATAGTAATAGCATTTCTCAAAACTAGATTAACAAATAAAACACTTATTCTTGATAGCTGGGAATATTTAGCAAGATTCCTTCTAAACGTTTGAAAAAACCCACAATGTCTGTTTGAGAGTTAGAAGAGAAAGATCCACACAGTTTAAATTATATAATCATAGCATTTGAAAGGCAACTGCCAGCTTCAACTGGAAAATCCTGTAACCATTTCAGTTCTGAGTAATGTAACACCTAACCATAAACAAAATAGAACAAATTATTTCTTGAACGTAAGTCCTACTCTGAGAATATTCAGATGTCTCCAATTTGACAATTATATGTGCAATAACACTATGCAAATCTCCCACACTATTTTATTTTTCCTCAGAAAGACATGTTCCACCACAGCTTTCAAGTCTTAAAAATAATGTTGATAGAAACTGTCTAGATTTCACTGACAATAAAAAGTAGAATCACTGCAGAGTTCAACACCAAGTATCAGTTGAAGCAAACATTTTACTTGACAAGAAATATTACAGGAGCTTATCACAGTACCTTGTCTACATGAAAAATCAAATCCAGTTCACAGACATTTTCAAAACATTTGTCTAGTGTTTCCACAAATACCTGCAAAGAGGAAAAAAAAGCAAGGTCAAGCTTTAACAGAAACTCAACAGTTCCATTAAATGTTGAGGTTTAACAAAAGCAAATACCGAAAATAAACACTGGGCAGATTTTAAGGCATTAAAAGCATCTACAGAAATTATGTGGTTAACATTATTAGGTCAACAGTATGTTATCTGTACAGGGCAAAATCTTATGCACAAGAAAGTTTATGTTGCAACTCTGCTAAAAGTCAAACAGTTTTAAACACTTGAAAAAACATTAACATATTCTATGCTACAATTTTCTCAGCTGTGATTCAAAGTCATGAGACCTCAATTCATTAGAACCAAATTATTAAGCAAAAATCAGCTAGTTTTTTTCACTATTATTGTTATTTTTAACAATTACTACATTGCAGGCACCTCCCGCTTAACCTCACTGCTGTTAACTTTGCCACACAGAGACACAACAGCAAAGCAAACTGTCAGCATCATGCAAGTTTATCAGCATTAAAGCTTCCAGAAACAGCTTCCACCTGGCTTAGACCTGCTGAATTCAGGATGGACCAATGAAAAAAGGCAGCTGTCGCAACATCACACCTGCTGATCCTGCCAGGCGTACCACTACGTAAGTTTAGAAGAGTCTAGCAGTTTGTATCCAGGCAAATAACCCCTCCCTGAGCCTAGAATGGAAGTGCACAAAGCAGAAAAATCCAAGCAGCTGCTGAAGTCCATCCACGGATGATCTCTACCAGATACGGACTGTATGTTATCCTGCTATGGGTACTTCCGTAACAGATTCCTTGGTACTCATGCTAGCCAGTTTTGGTACACCAAGATCATCCCAGCCCTCAGTTAGGCCAGATAATGAGAAGATAGAAGATGGCTGTACTTGCTATCCTGAAGCTCCTGAATGCCAATCACCATGTGCTTGTGGTAGGTGCTGACAAAGACTCCAGTCTTCGAGAGGCATACGCACAGTTCCCTTTATTCAAGGGAATAAATACTGACTTAAATGAGATGTGTCAAGACCCCCTAAGTTAAACATATGCTTGAGTTTGAGAGCTTAGGGTCCTCAAAATTTCTGTCACAATTTACAGATAATTAATGACTAGTAAATAAGCCGCAATTTGTGGGAAATTCTTATCTCAGTTTACCATATTTCAAGACCATTTTGTCACAATATGTGTTTAATATTATTTATTGTCCCTCTATATTTTTTTTTCCCAATTCTAAACTCAAACCCTACAGCAGCTATTCAGAAGAAGTTAAACACCTGGTTTTCATTCTCTCTCTTTGCAACAGAGTTTTTTAATCCCATCTTAGTCTTTGACAGGAAACAGATTTCAAACTGCCTAGGCCCGGAGAAATAAGAATGAGAAACCCTGTTCTGCTGACAAAACTAAAGGTGGATAAACGGCTTGCTTCTATAGATACATATATATGTCTACAGACTCAGTGAAACAGGCCTACTTGACATCAGCCATTCCCAGTTGTCTACCTTGCGTAGCAAGAAAGATTACTTTTACATCCGAATCCCCAGTCTCAGATCCTGTTTACAGTATAAAAGAGGATCACACTCTGCTGTTGCTATTTCTACTATTATCGATCTCCATTTTAAAGTCAAACTGCATCTGATGTTCGTTTCATACACTTAGAACAATTATTCTTTAATACCAAAATACCAATTAATAACTTAAACTAGGAATATAAAGCATTTTCACAGTCAGACTCAAGACAGTAAGGTTCACTGACAACAGTTAACTAAGTAAATGAATATGCTTCTGTTAAATTACTCTGAAGCTAAGAGAAGCAGATATTTTTTCTTCAAGTAGCTGTTAATTTGTTGTGATAATAAGTCTTCTATAAAAAAGAGATGTGAGCAAACAAACAAAAAAATTATGTTAAGCAGAATGAACTACACAGTTCACAACTACGTGCAGCAAGACAAATGACCAGAGATGTTCTCTTACTTTCCTTGTACCTTAGGAGAATGTGGTTACAAGGACAGTGCTGTTTGATACTAGCTGCAGGAAAAAGATTGGAAATAGTGTGTAAACGTAACCTTTAGCCAAAGGTTTTAGTTACAAGAACTAACAGTTTGACACTATATTTGAAAGAAAATAAAATATTCTTGATATACGTCACCAAGTTTGCACATGAATTTACATACTCTGACATCCATCTAGTTCCTTGGAAAACAAAGCAACATGTTAAAAACAAAACCAACTCAAAAATGGCCCCAAAGATACTTGCATTTAGTAGCAGTATGTATGCCCACACATTGACAACACAGAAGTTTTATTTTTGTGATCTTCTTCCAGTAACTAGCGCTTCTCCTATAACAATACTTGACTTCATAGTTAAATGGTTACTTTTAAACCTTTACCCAGTACATAGTGACACCACCGCACACTGAATGAACTCATACACATCTTCTTGCAATGCATGACCAGTAACGCACATCAAACATTTTTTAATCTAAGGGAAATCAGCTGGCACTGAGTATTCACTTGCATACTCAGCAAGTTCGCCGATGACACCAAGCTGCGTGGTGCCGTCGACACGCTGGAAGGGAGGGATGCCATCCAGAGGGACCTCGACAGGCTGGAGAGGTGGGCCCGTACCAACCTCATGAAGTTTAACCAGGCCAAGTGCAAGGCCCTACATCTGG